TGTTCTTAACAAGCAGAAAGGGGCAAGCCACACACAACTATCCCAGGCCCCCACAACCTGTCACCCCCTCCCAACACCCCCCAAAACCTACCCACAGTTTCCCAACCAACACCGACAAAGAATCCCACAGTAGCTACCAGGTCCCCCCCCTTCACAGCCCCCCAAACCACAGTGTTGGAAAGGAAACTAAAGGGATGGTACACAAACGCTGATGGAATAACAAACAATGAGGGGATGGCATAAAGGTCCAAAGAGGCATCCCCGGGACACATAGCTCCACAAAAAACCAAGCTTACGGGTATGTAACAGATGCCATTTTTCCAGGGATACCAGAGCCTGGGGAAAGACAGGGGGAACAGGGGGGGGGAAAGGAGTGGCATTGCTATAAAAAACGATAAAATTTTGATGACGGAGAAGGAGACAGCGGAGAAGAAGTTTACATAGCGGGAACGCTTTTTTCTCTGGAGGCCCAAGGGTAATAGCAGTGACGATAACCACCAAAGAAAAGCAGGAGGGCCAAAGGGAAGAGTACAACGAGAGCAATAGAGGGATGGTTTACAAACTGGGGCAGTGGCCAAAGAGCTCATGCATGCAGGGGAAAGCTCCTACATGAAGACTTTAACCCAAGGGGACGTTGGGAAACTTGGAGCCACTGGAGGGGCCAAAATACATGGAGGGCTAAATGATGGGGGTGGGACTGGGAAAAATTTAGACCAACACTAAGGGGCACTACAAAGGAGAGGAAAAACCCGAAGAATGGACTTATATTCACCTTGAGTATGCAGTTCGAGGACACACATATGAAAAAACCCCCTTTGGGCCAGCGATCATGTGGTTTTAAGCTTCGAAAAACAAGTAAGCACAAGTGGGGGGAGAAGCAAGAAGGCCAGGGGAATGAAGCCAAACTACAAAAAGGGGACACACAGGAAAGAGGAACTTCCGAACGGGGTTCAGTGGGGCAGAGAAATGGCAGGGGAACCCTTTAAAGAGATTTATGGAATATGTGGCAACAATATGCAAAGGGGGCGAGGAGAGGTTTGTACCCAAGGGTAACAGGAAAAATGAAAAAACCAGGACGAGCCCATGGCTCACCCAAAGGTGCAGGGAGGCAAAAACCAAGTGTGCTAGGGAATGGAAGAAATATAGAAGGCAAAGGACCTAGGAGAATAAGGTGAGCAGTCATAGAGCCAGAAACGAATTTGCACAGATAAGAAGGGAGGCCCAAAGTCAATATGAAAACGACAAAGCAGCAAAAGCCAAATCTGACCCGAAACTGTTATACAGCCACATCAGGAGGAAAACAACAGTCAAGGACCAGGTAATCAGGCTAAGGAAGGAAGGAGGAGAGACAACAAGAAATGACCGTGAAGTATGTGAGGAACTCAACAAGAGATTCAAAGAAGTATTCACAGAGGAGACAGAAGGGGCTCCAGAAAGACAGAGAGTTGGGGCACACCACCAAGTGCTGGACACAGTGCACACAACCAAGGAAGAAGTGAAGAGGCTTCTGAGTGAGCTAGATACCTCAAAGGCAATGGGGCCAGATAACATCTCCCCATGGGTCCTGAGAGAGGGAGCAGAGGCACTACGTGTACCCCTAACAACAATATTCAATACATCTATCGAAACAGGGAGATTGCCTGAGGCATGGAAGACAGCAAATGTAGTCCCAATCTTTAAAAAAGGAGACAGACATGAAGCACTAAACTACAGACCAGTGTCACTGACATGTATAGTATGCAAAATCATAGAGAAGATTATCAGTAGGAGAGTGGTGGAACACCTAGAAAGGAATGATCTCATCAACAGCACCCAACATGGTTTCAGAGACGGGAAATCCTGTGTCACAAACCTACTGGAGTTCTATGACATGGTGACAGCAGTGAGACAAGAGAGAGAGGGGTGGGTGGATTGCATATTCTTGGACTGCAAGAAGGCGTTTGACACTGTTCCACACAAGAGATTGGTGCAAAAACAGGAGGACCAAGCAGGGATAACAGGGAAGACACTGCAATGGATCAGGGAATACTTGCCAGGAAGACAGCAGCGAGTCATGGTACGTGGCGAGGTGTCAGAGTGGGCACCTGTGACCAGCGGGGTCCCGCAGGGGTCAGTCCTAGGACCAGTGCTGTTTCTGGTATTTTGTGAACTACATGACGGAAGAAATAGACTCTGAGGTGTCCTTGTTTGCAGATGACGTGAAGTTGATGAGAAGAATTCACTCGATCGAAGGCCAGACAGAACTACAAAGGGATCTGGACAGGCTGCAGACCTGGTCCAGCAATTGGCTTCTGGAGTTCAATCCCACCAAATGAAAAGTCATGAAGATTGGGGAAGGGCAAAGAAGACCGCAGACGGAGTACAGTCTAGGGGGGCGAGAGACTACAAACCTCACTCAAGGAAAAAGATCTTGGGGTGAGTATAACACCAAGCACATGTCCTGAAGTGCACATCAACCAAATAACGGCTGCAGCATGTGGGCGCCTAGCAAACCTCAGAACAGCATTCCGACATCTTAATAAGGAATCGTTCAGGACCCTGTACACCGTGTACGTTAGGCCCATAATGGAGTATGCGGCACCAGTTTGAAACCCACACCTAGACAAGCACGTAAAGAAACTAGAGAAAGTGCAAAGGTTTGCAACAAGACTAGTCCCAGAGCTAAGAGGTATGTCCTACGAGGAGAGGTTAAGGGAAGTCAACCTGACGACACTGGAGGACAGGAGAGATAGGGGGGACATGATAACGATATACAAAATACTGAGAGGAATTGACAAGGTGGACAAAGACAGGATGTTCCAGAGATTCGACACAGTAACAAGGGGACACAGTTGGAAGTTGAAGACACAGATGAATCACATGGATGTTAGGAAGTATTTCTTCAGCCACAGAGTAGTCAGTAAGTGGAATAGTTTGGGAAGCGATGTAGTGGAGGCAGGATCCATACATAGCTTTAAGCAGAGGTATGATAAAGGTCACGGTTCAGGGAGAGTGACTTAGTAGCGATCAGTGAAGAGGCGGGGCCAGGAGCTTGGACTCGACCCCTGCAACCTCAACTAGGTGAGTGTACACACACACACACACACCTACACACACAGCCACACACACACACCCACACACAGCCACACACACAGCCACACACACACCCACACACACACCCACACACCCACACACACACACCCACACACACACACACACACACACCTACACACACAGCCCACACACACACACCCACACACAGCCACACACACAGCCACACACACACCCACACACACACCCACACACCCACACACACACACCCACCCCCCCACACACACACACACACACACACACACACACACATACACACACACACACACACACACACACACACACACACACAACACACACGCATATACAACAGGCCTAGTGTCTAATCGACATGTGCCTAGGACAAAATGGTAACTAACTAACTAACACACACACGCACACACACGCACACACACACACACACACACACTGCGTCACTCATGTCATTCTTGAGGCTTCCAACGTGATTACATTTCTTCCTGATTATTCTCTGGTATCATAGTTCCTTCAGTGCTTCCTTCACTCCTCAGGATTCACAACGCACATGAATATTTTTCTAATAGTTTATGTTGATGTTGTTGTTTTTGGAAGAAGAGCAGAGAACAAAGACAGAGAGGAAGCAGCAAGATGAAGGACTGTAGTCCCATGGTTGACGTGTGGTGAGTGTTTGGAAAGGTGGTGGAGAGTTGACTTTGTAAGGAGTCTAGTCACACGGTTGAGCTGTGGTGAGTGCCTAGGGCTCTAGAAGAAAAGTTTAGGTGGAGTGTTGACTTTGTAAGCACTAAGCCATCCATTATTCGTAATGTGCCTCACCACGTAATTATCCGTGTCCACCTAAAGGATGAATCCTGGTGCAGTGGCTAATGTTTTATGTGACTTTATGTGTAGCCTGTGTAATCCTGTAAGACGTGTAATCCTTTATTACGTGTGATTCTGGAGGACGTGTGATCCTGGACGACGTGTGATCCTGGAGGACGTGTGATCCTGGAGGAAGTGTGATCATGGAGGAAGTGTGATCCTGGAGGAAGTGTGATCCTGGAGGACGTGTGATCCTGAAGGACGTGTGATCCTGAAGGACGTGTGATCCTGGAGGACGTGTGATCCTGAAGGACGTGTGATCCTGGAGGACGTGTGATCCTGAAGGACGTGTGATCCTGGAGGACGTGTGATCCTACAGAGGATCAAGGCATGATCAACTCTGTGGTTGTGTGTTTTTTATGATGTAAAGTGTTAAGTACAAGAATTATTAGTTCAAATGTTATTTTCCTTTGTGAGATCAGTTAAAGATTTTAGATAAGAGGATAAGGTTTATAGTTTCTCTTTGTATACTTTAAGTTACTTCTGTGGAAGGTAAACCTAACACGGCCAGTCATTCCCTCTTGCTGGTGGTGGTAGTTTTAAGATTAAGGAAGTATACCAGTGGTGAGGTATGAGCAGGACACACGAGGTAGAGAGGTATAATCAGGACACGAGATAGCGAGGTATAATCAGGACACACGAGATAGCGAGGTATAATCAGGACACACGAGGTAGCGAGGTATAGTCAGGACACACGAGATAGCGAGGTATAATCAGGACACACGAGGTAGCGAGGTATAATCAGGACACACGAGTTAGAGAGGTACAATCAGGACACACGAGGTAGCGAGGTATAATCGGGACACACGAGGTAGCGAGGTATAATCAGGACACATGAGGTAGCGAGGTATAATCAGGACACACGAGATAGCGAGGTATAATCAGGACACACGAGGTAGCGAGGTATAATCAGGACACACGAGATAGTGAGGTATAATCACGACACAAGAGGTAGCGAGGTATAATTAGGACACACGAGGTAGTAGTAGTAGTGTGGTATGAGCGAGACATAACCGTGTATCAGTGGACAAATGAGCAGACCGGCATCATAGAATCTGGCTACGGAAGAGCGCATGAGGCGACCATCCCAGTATGTTGAAGGCGGTGTCTCAAGTAGAGTGCACCTTCCAACTTCCATGTTGCATCAGCAGTGTGCTAGTAACCTTTTCTATGGGAGAGTTACACAGTGGGAACAAGAAACTAAAATTTTTTTCCCTGTTATATTTCATAACCCAGGATGGAGTTTATATAAAGTGATGAGTCAGACGGAGTAATAATAATAACAGTAATAATAATTACAGTAATAATAATAGCAATAATAATAATAATAATAATAACAATAATAATATTTCTACAAGTACTTCATACAACTGATACAGACTTAGCTGGTTATACAGAGCATTTAGGGAAACTTAAATTAATTTTGTCCCGAGGATTCGACCCACACCAGTCCGCTAACATCCATGTACTTACTTACTGCTAGGCGAACAGGGACTGTAGATGTCTTAAGGAAATAAGCTGAGTGTTTCCTTAAGCCACCTGAGGCTTAAGGTGGCTTAAGGTTTATGTTTTAAGGTTCGTGGTTCGATCCTCGTATCGGGAATCGAACCACGGATACTCATTGTGTGAGCTGAGTGCGTTACCAACCGAGCTACAGAACACGTAAGGGTTATTTAACTACTGGGGCTACAAAGTTTCCTTCCACCACGAAGGAGCTACAGTTGCTATAACGTGAGAATTACTCTCTCATGATAGACTGTTACATACACAGGAGAAGTGGAGTTTTAGGAAGAGAAGCAAGGATAGGGCAGGGAGGATTGTGACAGTTGAAGTTGTATTTTTCGTTGTTTGTTTTGTCTCCGACATTGTTATGGCCGTTGTTGGTTTTATATTGTTTTTTGACAAGGACGTTTTTGTTGTTCTTGTGTAGAATAAAGGGTGAATGCGTGGGTGTATGACTGATTAGTTCGTGATCGAATCAAGCCAGTATTGGAATTCAGCCCAAGAAACCTGTCTTCAAATTTCTGATACTGAATCTTACCTCGATTTCTACAAAGGGCAGTGTATTTCGGTTGCAGATGCATCTCTGGTGAGCTGGAGGCTGTGGTAAGATCCAACAACGTACAAGAAATGCGCATTTAATAATACTGTTGATGGGTACCTACCTTCATGAAGTTTGGGGGTCTGGGGTGCTTCCGTAGGGACACCTGTGATACTTTGTAAAGTCCAGATCTGTAACCGGCTTTGTGCACGACGGAAGCTACAAATTAGTTTCGTGGGAGACAGTGCAGAGGTGCAATTCACGTTGTAATATGTTATCAAATATTGGAGTACTTCACTGCACTAAGATCTGTCGTAGGATAAATCGTCCTAATTAGCAAGGCAGTCTGGTCACTCGCCTTGTTCGCCAACAGGTTTTTTTTTTGTGACTGAAGCACAGGTGCCCGGCCTGGGCAGCTGTACCTGATCACAGTAGGCTCTGTTGTCAATTTGTGGAGGCTGTGAAAGGTGATTGTATATGCTAAGGAAAATTATTGTACGTCTAACTACAGGTTAGCTAAAATGCTTATAAGAAGTAGACTAATTTAGTCATTACTAAATTAGTCTTATAAATTAAGAGTGGACAAGGAAATGTGGGAACATCGGACGTAGGCATATGTGAGTCCACTGCTCGTCCTCTACCCATCCCCTTCCCCATCCTTTCTCCTAATGGTTACGGGAAATCAGTTGACTTCCCTGATTTCCAACAGTTCTTGCTGTGTCAAACGTTATTATTGTTGCTGCTAAGATGGTATTTTGGCATCGGTCTTATCGTTGCTTTTTTTTTTTTTTTTTTTTTTTTTTTGTGTGTGTGTGTGTGTGTGTGTGTGTGTGTGTGTGTGTCTGTTGTTATCATGATATTTGTAGTAAATGGACCAACTGGGAAATAAAATTACGTTTAGGGCATTATTATTTTTTTTTTTTGATAAAAATGAGGAAAAAAATAATATGTAAGATAAGACAGGTTGCTACTAGCAATTCTCATGTTGCATTACCTTTGTTCTAGTAATATTGTTTCCTGAGGTAGATTATTTAAAATATTGACATTAAAAGTAATTCTCTCTTTTATTTTTCTTCTCCTCCTTCCCTCAGTACTGAGTTTACCAAAACGTTTGTCTTAGCAATGATAATTTCTTCCTCCTTCCTGCGTAATGTTGCCATCTTGTCTGTGTTAGAAGTTAGAAGTTTCCTTATTAAATATCTTAATACGTGCATACCTGTTTCTTTCCACAACTTGTGGTTTTTTTTTTACCATACTAGTTAAACGTGTGTGTGTGTGCTGATGCTTGGTGTTTCTATCCCTCAGGAGTGCCTCAGTACACCCGGGTGGCAGAGGACTGTGGCCAGGATGCTATCTTCGATGAGGTAAGTGATCCACTATGTCTTCGGCTTCAGACGCCTTTGTTGAGGTTTACCTCTCCTTAAGTCTCTCTCTTTCCCTTCCTCTCTCTCTCTTTCTCATCAATATCTTTCTTTCCTCTCGTTTCTCTGTCCTATTTCTCTACATTTAGTTTTCTTTCTCCTTTCCTACAATTCAACTTTGTTGTCAGCTGAGAAAACAAAGTTGGTGGTGTGTGTGATGTAAGGAAGTAATGTTGGCAGTGTTGAAGCCGGGCAGAATCTTGCTGCTCCGCCCACCTCAGCCTCTCCACGGTTAAAGCAGATCTTATCTGGACAACTCATCACATTTATTAATGGCAATGTTTGGTGGTGGTACTTCTTGACGCTGACAATATTTTTTTCCCTATGCAGCTCTTCCCTTACTTCACCTACTCTAGTCCTTACTTTCCTACTCCATTATTTCCCTGCTTTCTTCAGTTCTTCTTCCTTTTTCAGTTCTTCCCTTATTCCACTTACTCTAGTAATTACTTTTCTACTCCACAATTTCCCAGTCATTCCCTCCCTACAACACTTCTTCCTTCTCTACGTCAGTCCTTCCCTCCCTACAACACTTTTTCCTTCTTTACGTCAGTCCTTCCTTCCCTATAACACTTCTTCCTTCTCTACGTCAGTCCTTCCCTCCCTACAACACTTCTTCCTTCTCTACGTCAGTCCTTCCCTCCTTGCTCCAGTTTTCTCTCCTTCTCTTCTCATTAAGATACAACCAACAGTTTCTAACTTTTATCTAAGTACAGTTGCCTTAAATATAAACACTTTATCTCCACTTTAGTTAGTCTTGTTCTTGAGTAATCATTCTTTCTCCTCTTACTCACATTTCTGTCGATCATTCAACCCAAGATTTTATCATGTAAACTCAACGGAATAAAGTTGCCTAAATGTTGCCTATGTGTCTTAACTACCAACCTGTCGGTATTGTATACCATTTTGATATTCAGATGTATCGCCATATAGTTCTTAGACTCCCTCATGTCTCCTTTTTGCCCTATACCAGGAAGTTAGTCTTGGCTTTCTGTCAGTACTTAGATGTTTTCCGCTCCTCCATGCATGTAAGGGGAAAATATACCACACAGTTCTAAACTATGTTTCTACTGCTTTTAACATATTAATGTTAATGTTATCCATCACAACTATTGCACCCCTTGTGTTATGTCCACTGCATCACGCACTTTCCCCCACACTCATCTTTGGCTCTTTCCTATTCTTGCCAAATCTTATTCATCTTTGCCATTGCCTCTAATCCCCTGCTCTCTTTCATAATTAAAGATTCAATATCTTTTGAAAATATTCTCTCTTTCCAGTACCTCTGCCTTGTAGCGCAGCCGGGATTTCATTCCAGAGGCAGGAGGCTTCAGCCAGGATTTCAATGTGGAGGGAAGGGGAGGGGAGGAGAAGGGGAGGGGAGGAGAAGGGGAGGGGAGGAGAAGGGGAGGGGAGGAGAAGGGGAGGGGAGGAGAAGGGGAGGGGAGGAGAAAGGGAGGGGAGAGGAAGGGAGGGGAGAGGAAGGGAGAGGAGAGGATTAGAAATTATAAGAAGCTGAAAAAAATAATCATAGAAATCACCTTTACAGTCACATGATTTTGAAAAAAAAAACATGATTTTATTTGTAAAATTGCTTAAACTGTCGTCCCTATGCGGCCACTGGTCAGTATCTTGAAGTAAAAATTAGTTATCAATTAAAACCTTAAATAAAAATAATTTACCCCCGAGGCTCCAGCCTCCTCGGCCGCCATCTTGGCTGCTCCTCCTCATCCGTCATCTCATCTCTCGTCGCCTTATTAACCGCAAACGTCATTTACTCCCCAGATATTTTTCAACCTATTAATCTCTCTCCTAACACTGCTTCTCATTCTCAGTAAAATCTGCTGATAGAAACTTGCTTTAGTTGCTTTAGTTTTGCACTTCCTCATCACTCCTGTGACATGTGTTTTTCTCTCTACACATAAAATCAGTTCCATGTATCATTTTTTTCTTTGCAAAATCCTTTGACATGATAACCTTTTCACTCTTACCATCCTTTCTACCTCATCACTCCAACCATTCTTCTTCACACTCGTATTTACATTTCTGCAGTCACAAGTCTGCTGCTCACTGTATTGCACTGAATTCTTAACACCACTTTATACTTCACAAGCCTCCTCCCCTTTCTCCTTCTCCTACTCCTCCTCCTCTTTTTCAACTACTCCTCCTCCACTTTTTCCTACTCCTCCTCCTCCTCCTTCTCCTCCTCTTTCTCCTCCTCTTCACGTGTTTGATCTCTAATCCGCCTTTCATTCAACAATTACTTTTACCTAACAATGGCCGATAGTTTGTTTAGTTTATTGGGATCCTCTCCAAGATACGATACTACGTGCCGCAAAATGCCCTTCTCACACTATACCACTCACTTATTTATCCATACCTCACCTATGCTATTTGTGCTTGGGGATCAACTGCAGCAACACACCTAAAGCCAATAATAACCCAACAAAAAGCTGCAGTAAGAATAATCACTAAATCCCATCCCTGGCAACACACCCCCCCACTCTTCATAGATCTAAACTTACTCCCAGTCCAGTACATCCACACTTACTACTGTGCAATCTATATCTACAGGTCCTTAAACTCTAATATCAACCTTGACCTAAAACGCTTTCTTGATAGTTGTGACAGAACCCACAGGCATAACACCAGACACAAACATCTCTACGACATTCCCCGTGTCCGACTAAGCCTTTACAAAAATTCAATGTATGTCAAAGGCCCTAAAATCTGGAATACCCTACCTGAGAACTCTAGAACTGCAGACACATTCATCACCTTCAAAACTACCATTAGAAAACATCTTATCTCCCTGATACACCCCGTCAACTAACTACACGAATACCACCTGGTGGTTCACACTTACACTCACTGACTCATTTGACCATAAACAGAAATATTAATCTCAGTCTTAAAATAATGAATCCTGTGATACTCCAATACTGAAACTATGTACTGTGCCAAAACAAAAGCATTCACATTGCTAAACTCACAAACTAGTATTTAGTCACTTAGCCATAATACCAACTTACCTCATAATTTGTAATATTTTACAATTAAGAATAAAACTAAGTATGCCCGAAATGCCTAGCCATGCTAAGCGTTCTAGTGGTACACTCTGTAATCACAATTTTACTACATGTAAACCAAACAATAACCAAATTTCTGTAAACTCAGCATTGTAATCCTTATAGAGAATAAACTTTGAATTTGAATTTGAATTCACTTTTACTCTTTTCTTACCCACTAACTCCATCCCCCTTGTACCCTACCTACCTCTTGCAATTACCGTATCTCCAACTAAATTAGCATTTCCGTCGCTGCGCGATCCGAGGAAATTATCCCCGTATGCCATAACCTCAGTCCTCTGTGACTTAATACATGAGATTGGAATACTACAGTGTGCGGCATAAGTCAATAGCGCAAAGGCGCTTCCTGTGTTCGTATTTGCTTGGACCTCCTCCTTTTTTCTGCAACATTGTAAGCTCCTGGTGATGTGTTGATTTCAACATGAAAGGTCTAGAGCTATCATTCAACTCCCCTCCCCAACTGGTTGTTTTGTATCTTGCATTGCTTGTTTGCGATTTTTGCGTTAAATATTGGTGTTGAAGATCTGAGGGGCGTCAAAAGAGGCATTCACAAATCATCACAGGAAATCATATGGAAACTAATATCCACATTTCTTTAATAAAAAGTGGTGAATTAGGTCATAGACCAAATATAACTAAAATCTTTCAGTGGGACCGACGAGACCAACATACTAAAGCACAAGAACACTGTGGTTGAAACCGCGACCAGTCAGATGTTACGTTATCAAGTAATCACAATGGAAGGGTTGAAACCACTCAGTAAAAAAACCCACTAGTAAAAATCAATCCAAATTTTTCTTTAATTTTATGTAACATTAGTGTGTTTAACAATTTTTTTTTTTATTAATGATCCTGAGGGTAAATGGATGTTATAGCCACATAAAATAACATTAAACTGATTAGACTTACGATAACCAGATATTGTGAAAGATTGTGACTTGTTTCCGCTCAGAAGTCAAATTATCCATTTATTTCACGGAAACCAATCTAATTAAAACATTGGCACATGATAACTTACACAACCTAACATCAAAAGTTTGTTTCCTTTGAGGAAAACACATCAGCAGTAAAAGTTTCAAGCCGACCAGAAGATGCGTTTTCCAGTTATTGGACAGAGTCCAACATCCTAAAGCCAGGAAACGTTTCATACATTTCATACGATGCATCAACCAGTGGAGATTGATGCCCTTCACAATTGTTATATTATAATCAGAGGATGTGGATCGGACTCAAAGCAAAGGAATGATAAGTTCAGATCCTTGGATCAAGAGCCCCTCACCAGCATCAAGACAAAATAATGCAATAACACAAAATAACACCATAATATTTTGAAGTTAAAAGAACCAAAATGGCATCTATACACTGCAGTAAATATTATATCAACTGTACTGATGAACTTTTAAAGATGGTCAGAGGAGCCTCTCTCCACCTATCACACAAAATCTAAATTTGGGACTGACATGACAGCCAAACATGCAAACAGAGTCATGAATCTTGCCCAAGATGGACTACACAAGCGTTGAAAAATAGGAGCCGGTCGAATAAGGCGTTCTCGAGTAATTAAAAATTTGTGAGATGGTAAATGAAAATGTTCCGAAAATTGGGAATGTGTCTCACGTTAATCTTAAAAAGCCAAAAAATCAAGGGTTTTTTTTTGATATTCCTTTCTCATTTACATTCTATTTAAAATTCTTTGCAATTCTGTCAGTAATTATTTTGACTTTGTTTAAATTCCATTTTAATAAAATTGCCAAAAGCAAAAACAAAAAAAAAAAAAAACAAAAAAAAAAAAAAAAGACAAATTGGAGCTCACACATCCTAGAATTATTACAAATATATTTCCAGTTGTACCACACCAGATCTCAGCGTCTGGAGACGATCACAAGAGGCGGGTTTCTCTTATGACTTGAAACAGTTTGCTTAATTAAATTAACACACTGAAATTAGCACATCTCAAAGTGAGTGGCAAACTGTGTTTTAATAAACCCCACCAATGATAAGAGTTTGAAGCCGATCAGAAAATGTATTCTTCATTAATTGATCTGATTCCAACGATTCCAAGATTTTTAATCATTTCACCAAATTTCAAATTTGCACCAATTCTTGTTAAACTCAGTTTTACCTATTCGGCACAACATATATATATATATATATATATATATATATATATATATATATATATATATATATATATATATATATATATATATATACATATATATATATATATATATATATATATATATATTTAATATATATATATATATATATATATATATATATATATATATATATATATATATGTCGTGCCGAATAGGCAGAACTTGCGATCTTGGCTTAAATAGCAACGCTCATCTTGCCATATAGGACAAGCGAAAATTTGTGTATGCAATAATTTCGCCAAAATCATTCTGAACCTAACGAAAAAAATATATTTCACTGTGTTTGTTTAGTATTAAATTATTGTAAACAAATCTAAAATATATTTAGTTGGGTTAGGCTAAAATAAATTGCTCTTGTTATAATAAGGTTAGGTAAGTTTTCTAAGTTCCTTTTAGTGCAAAATTATAAATTTTTACATCAACATTAATGAAAAAAATATGTCTTTAAAGGTATAAGAGAAAATTTTAGAAAGGACTTAATTTTAAATGAGTTCTTGCTAATTGACCAATTTTACATATTCGGCACGACATATATATATATATATATATATATATATATATATATATATATTATATATATATATATATATATATATATATATATATATATATATAATATATATATATATATATATATATATATATATATTTATTTATATGTCGTGCCGAATATGTAAAACTGGTCAATTAGCAAGAACTCATATAAAATTAAGTTCTTTCTGAAATTTTCTCTTATACGTTTAAAGATATTTTTTTTCATTAATATTAATGTAAAAATTTCTAATTTTGCACCAAAAGAATCTTAGAAAACTTACCTAACCTTATTATAACAAGAACAATTTATTTTAGCCTAACCTAACTAAATATATTTTAGATTTGTTTACAATAATTTAATACTAAACAAACGCAGAGAAATATATTTTTTCGTTAGGTTCAGAATGATTTTGGCGAAATTATTGCATACACAAATTTTCGCTTGTCCTATATGGCAAGATGAGCGTTGCTATTTAAGCCAAGATCGCAAGTTCTGCCTATTCGGCACGACATATATATATATATATATATATATATATATATATATATATATATATATATATATATATATATATATATATATATATATATATGAGTGAGTGTGAGTGTGTGTGTGTGTATACAAACGTCAGAATTTCCAGCAACATAACTCATGCTATTCCCTGTTTGACAGGAATTTTCATGCTCCCACAGGTGCTGGAGTGGCCAGTTGGCAGGTGTGTGGAGCCTGGGGAGGAGGTGCAGGTGCAGCTGCAGGTGTTCAACAAGTACTTCAGTAACAGGACCATTGCTAACTACGCCCTTGTACTTCAGCGGCTGGTGGGTGATGGTAATCTCATCCTCACAGATCACATGACGGATGCCAACAATAAACTGGTCCAGGTGAGAGGGGCTGGGGAAGGGTATACGGGAAGGTCGGTGGGTGAATTTGGGTGAAAGAGATGGTCGCTGCCACAATGTGGGTTCATCTGATGGTGTGGTCTGTCTGTGGCTTGTCTTCAGTATCTAGCAGACAACAGGGTCCATAGCCAGATAAGTGAAGCCCAAACCTCTTACTGTCGTGCATGCTCCTAGAGGCATGCAAGCGAACATACTCCAGCACTTGCACAAATACAAGATCATTCACAAAAATTGACTTACACACGACTCCAGAACATATGCAAATTCATGAACATGCACAAAGCACAGAAAAATTCACAAATCACACGAACATACACAAATACAAGGATATAAAAAAATAACAGTAAATACACATACAGGAATATTCACAAACACAAGAACAAGCTCGCGAATATACACAAACACATAAACTTACACCAATGCAGAAACACACACAAACACAGGAACAAGCTCGGAAGCACACACAAACACAAAAACTTACACCAACACAGGAACACATAAACACAAAAGCTTACAACAACACAGGAACACACACAAACACCAAAACTTACACCAACATAGGAACACACACAAACACAAGAACTTATACCAACACAGGAACACACACAAACACAAGAGCTTACACCAACACAGGAACACACACAAACACAAGAACTTACACAAACACAGGAACACACACAAACACAAGAACTTACACCAACACAGGAACACACACAAACACAAGGGAACCAATGAGTTCTGTATACAATCCACACAACGGGAGGTAAACTGAAGAAACCGATTGAGCCTGATACCTCGAAGGCAATATCTGGAGGGTGTTCCAGGGGTCAACGCCCCCTCCACTCGCTCCAAGACCAGACGACATCTCTCAGTGGGTCCTGAGTGATCTTCAACAAGTCATTTGAAACAAGGCAGCTGTCTGGTGTCTAGAAAACGGCAAACGCATCTCCGATACTTAGAACAAGAGAACAGACAGGGAGCATTATACTATAGGCCAACACCACTGGCATGCATAATATGTAAGGTTATAGAAAAGTCTATTAGGAAAAGCGTGGTGGAGCACCTGGAAAGGATCGGCTTCATAAACATCAATCAACACTGCTTTAGAAATGGCAAAAACCTGTTTCCTAAAGCTGATAAAGTTTTACGACAAGGAACGGTAGTTAGGTAGGCTAGAGACTGATGAGTGGATCAAAATTTTTGGTCTAGTATTCATTACAATAAGGTGTATGCTACAGTGGCTCACAAGAGACTGGAAGAAGAGCTAGAGGAGTTGGCAGGAATGACAGGGAAAACACTACAGTGAATCAAGGAATACTTAATAGAAAGGAAACAACGAGTTATTGTACCTAAAAAAATATCTAAAACATTGGGCACTCTATCAGAAATAAGCCAGTTTGTTTCCCAGACAACATTACTCACTCTGTCCTACTGTATAATCTATCCCTCCCTCACATACAGTATTTATGCTTGGGGTCTGTTGCAGCAAATCACCGAAAGTCCATTAACCTACAGAATTTATCTGTTAGAATCCCCACTCATTCAGGTGCCAGACAACACCTCTTGTCCTTCCACATTATTCAAAAGCCTCAGTTTATTGAACATCCAACACATCCACACTTACTACTGTGCATTATATAGACACAGAACACTCAGAACGAACGTCAACCCAGTGCTCCGACGCTTCCTGGACAGCTGCAACACAACACATAGACACAATACGAGAAATAAGTATCTCTCTGATATACCGCGTGTTTCACTCAATCTATACAGGAACTATAAGCAAATAAAAGTTCCTGTTAGAAGATGCAAAAAGTTCCTCTTCAGTCACCTGCTTCAAAAATATACTAAAAAACGCACCTCATAAATTTGACTTTTATTGCAAACTATAACATTCTAGCAAACAACGAAATTTGTCTTAATGTCTAGTAATTAAAATGTAATTTTAAGGTTGCCCGAAACACCTTTCATAACAAAGGACTTTTTTGTAAAGTAGTTCAAACAGGCTACTACTACAGTGTCAATTGTATACTGTATTCCACTTACATAAATTAAGTTCTTTGTCTTGTTTGTTTGTGAGGAGATATCGGGTTGGGCGAATGTGACGAGTGGGATTTTACAAGGGTCAGTCCTTGCACCAGTACTGTTTGAAGACAGTAGAAATCGAGCCAGAGGTGTCAGTGTTCACAGATGACGCAAAACAAATAGGAGAAAACAAACAGGAGTAGAATAGGAAGGCTACAAATGGATCTAAACAAGTAATAGAATTGGTCTGACAAATGTCCATTAGAATTTAATCCCAGAAAATGCAAAGTTATGAAAATCGGTTAAAAGAAAAGAAAACCAGAAAGAGAGTACAGGTTCAGGAATAAAGACTGCAAACCTCTTTGGAAGACAAGGACCTCTGAGTGAGCATAGTTCCGAACATTTACCCTAAGAAACACATCAGCTGGATAACTGCTGCAGCAAATGCTAGACTGACAAATTCAAGAACAGCTTCCTGGAACCTCAACAAGTAGATATTCACGACTATATGCATGGCATATGTCAGGACCATCTTAGAGTTCAAAGCTCCAGCATGGAACCCCACATCTGATAAAGCATATAAAGAATTTGGAAAAAAATACAAAATTTGCAACAACGCTTGTCCCAGTGCAGCCATCACACAGACTCACACAAAAGATCACTTTGACAGTGAAATATGGATAAGTGGTTACAACCTTTTTAGATGCGACGGAAAGAATAGGAAACAAGGGGGGGTTGGCCTGTATGTCAAAGAGTCGCTCATCTGCACAGAGTTGCTGAACACCACAAATGAGGTAGTTGAAGTTCTATCAATAAAGATCGAGAACCAAAACCTAGTCATTGTGGTTGTATATAAGCCACCAGATGTAACCTCCCAACAGTTCAAGGAATAGCTACTGAAAATTGATTACTTTCTGGATAGCCTTCCAGCACCATCCCAGACATCTTACTGTTTGGTGATTTCAACCTAAGGCATACAAAATGGAAGACTACAGCGAATAATGTTATAGCTGAAACAATCCCCGGAGGTAGTTCAGATGAAAGGTCACACACACATGAGCTACTAAGTCTCTGCGATAAACACACCTTAAGCCAGCAGTTAGTGGAGCCAACAAGACTAGAAAACACACTTGACCTTATCTTCATATATAATGAGGACCTGGTAAGAGATATAAGAATATCAAAAACAACTAATTCCGATCACAATCTAATCGAAGTCCAGACGTACATGCATAGGGGTCCTGATCAGAAGAATGCATGTACCTGTGAAGGTGTCTTCACAAAATACAACTTCAACAAGAACATCAACTGGGACCAGGTAAACCATGTCCTAAATGAAACATGTTGGGATGATATCTTAAAGAACGTGGATCCAAACCAGTGCCTTGAAAGGATCAACTTCCTGGCAGCTGAAGCATGTTCTAGGCATATTCCCCTAAGAAAGAAGAAGAGCAGGAGTAAACTGGAGAGTGAAAGACGCTCCCTCTGCAGAAGACGACGAAGAGTCACTGAGCTCCTCAGGAATGCTAGAGTATCTGATACACAGAAGGAGGCGCTGACCAGGGAAGTGGAAACTATCGAACTTAAGTTAAAGGACTCTTACAGGAACCAGGAGAGACAGGAGGGTCTTAAAACTATTAGTGAAATTGGAAGAAATTCGAAATATTTCTTTTCATATGCCAAAAACAAGGCAAGTACCACATCTAGTATCGGGCCCTTACTCAGACAGGATGGGACTTACACAGATGACAACAAGGAAATGAGTGAAATACTGAAATCCCAGTACGACTCTGTGTTTAGTGAGCCACTAATCAGTCTGAGGATCGACGACCCAAATGATTTCTTCATGAATGAACCTCAAAACTCCATAAATGTATGCCAGATTTCCGACATTACCCTAACTCCGATAGACTTCGAAAAAGCCATTGACAACATGCCCATGCACTCAGCCCCGGGCCCAGACTCGTGGAACTCTGTATTCATTAGGAACTGCAAGAAACCCCTCTCACGTGCCCTAAGTACACTATGGACGAGGAGCTTGGACATGGGTGAAATTCCACAGTCACTTAAAACAACGGATATAGCCCCACTCCATAAAGGTGGCAGCAAAGCATTAGCTAAGAACTATAGACCAATAGCTCTAACGTCCCACATCATAAAAATCTTTGAAAGATCACTAAGAAGCAGGATTGTAAATCACCTGGATTCCCAAAAACTGCACAATCCAGGACAACATGGGTCCAGGGCAGGTCGCTCCTGCCTCTCACAACTACTGGATCACTATGATATGGCCTTGGATGCACTGGAAGAAAATCAGAATGCAGATGTAGTATACAAAGACTTTGCAAAAGCGTTTGACAAGTACGATCATGGTGTAATAGCGCACAAAATACGTGCTAAAGGAATAACTGCGAAAGTGGGGCAATGGATCTTCAACTTCCTAACAAATCGAACACAAAGAGTAGTGGTCAACAGGGTTAAATCGGAGGCTGCCATAGTGAAGAGCTCTGTTCCACAAGGCACAGTACTCGCCCTTATCTTATTCCTCATCCTCATATCAGACATAGACAGAGATTTACACCACAGCATCGTATCATCCTTTGCGGATAATACTAGGATCTGCATGAGACTGTCATCTGCTGAGGACACGGTTAACCTCCAAGAAGATATAAACAAAGTTTTCCAGTGGGCAACGGAAAACAATATGATGTTCAATGAGGACAAATTCCAACTACTCCGTTATGGAAAACTGGAGGAGATAATAACTAGAACAGAGTATACTACAAACTCTGACCATACAATAGAGCGGAAAAATAATGTAAGGGACCTGGGAGTAGTAATGTCTGAGGATCTCACTTTCAAGGATCACAACAGTGCCACGATCACAAGTGCAAAGAAAATGATAGGATGGATAATGAGAACGTTCAAAACGAGAGATGCCAAGCCAATGATGATTC